GGGAGTCGATACACGTCCTTCGTTGTGACTTCTTGTGCCTTCACAGAGCAAGCGGGCCCCGTCAAGGTAAGCTTGTGCTATAGTTAGCATAATAACCGCATGTGCATTTTCCGCAGCGATAAAAATGGCCGACTACGCATTAGCCGTACAATGCTGGAAGCGCTCTAGCAGATAAAACTTTTTGAAATTTCTGACCTTCATTGCCTGTTAACTGGGTTGTATTGTTTGTGAGACGAAAGAACATTGGAAGCGAGATGTTGAGTAACACACACACGCACAAACCCAACTACCGTACCATCGCTGCGCATGCGCGCCAAGGGTAATTAGAACCTTTTGTTTAGGCCCTAGACTCGGCCTATATCCACTAAGAGAATGTGAATGGGTCGTATGTGCCTTCCCTGGCATTGCAATGCAATCTGAAACAAATGTCATGGGCAATGCTTCATTTGTAATTGTTCTGGCCTCTTTGTGTGTATATGTATTGATGGATCTACCAACTAGCAGGTACATTTTGTTTGGCTGTTCTACCCTGTACAAGACAAACGCCTATCTTTCCTAATGTGTCCCTTGTTTTTTAAGCTTGTGTACATCATTCTGTTAGCCTCATCCCCCAGCTCTTCCCCCCTTGTTGTCGCGATCATCTTTGTACTGTGGAAATAAGAAAGGGGAGAGCCTCGTCAGCGAAATAGCGTAATCCCGGGATGATGCAATTAGAAGGAGTAGCACTTGCACACGTGTACAGTTCTCCAAGAGCTTAAAACTGCCTGAAGGACACCCAAAGACAACCCAGAATTACTTTCCAAACAAGCGCAACACAACCTACAAAGGTTGTGCGGGAGGCATAAAGCCGCCCTACTTCACCTGCCATTGTTTGTTCACACACTCTTGATTAGGTCTATCCTTTTTACCATTCTTTCTGCCCTACGTCACACACTTGAGTTTGCAGACCACGCTCTCGATACTTAAACTTGCAAAGATCAACGGTCATTTGATGAAATAGTGCTTGTTGCAAGAAAGCAACAGTGTTCTTTGCGGGAGAGCCTAGGGATGAGGATATTATTCTGGCATACTATTTAGAGAAAGCATTGGGATAGTACATGGGTGGTCTATTAAGCCAACCCCCACTTCTTGCTGTGTGCATTCGTTATGTGTTTAGACAGACAGACAAACCCAACTACTGTAACCCTCGGCGCGCATGCGCAGCGAGGGTTACAGTAGTTGGGTTTGTCTGTCTGTCTGTCTGTCTGTCCGTTACTCTACATCTCACTTCTCGGGTGTTTGTTCGTCTCACAAAGGATACGACCTGCTTAACCGGCAACGAAGGTAAAAAAATATGTGGGGTTTTCTCTGAAACTGCTCCGTTGCAAAGCTAGAGCGCGAAAAAGCCAATATGCAAATACGCAACGGACGGGATGGCTTACCGCGGTCTGATGGATCCGCGTGCTCTGCGTACCTCGGAGGCACCAGAAGATGCAACGAAGGGCGGGTATCGCCTCTCGTATGCTATCTAGTAGTGTAGTTAGTCCGCGTCAGACTCTGCGCGAGCCTGCAAGAGACCACGAGTAACAGCTAAAACTAAACCCAGCCCATCAATTAGTGGTACTGCGCATGCGTTTACTTACGCGTGCGCATCACAATGCGCCGAGGGTTTGCACTTCAGTGCTTTTCATTCGTTATGTGTTTACTCATCCCTAACGTTCATGCATTCCAGGGGCTATGGCAACATAGATGTTACACATCCCTACTATACCTTCAGTGTACGTGCTACATAATATCTTTCCCACGTACTATAAATTGTGTTTTTGTTGGCCTTCCAGAGACTTGGCAACATCAACATGTAGCTAGTCCACCTTGCACTCTTGAGTACACACGTCCACGTACCTCTACATTACTACCTACGTACTATAACTGTGATGGTGTGTTGTTTGTTGGCCTCCCTGCAGATGGTCTCCTGGGTCTGGGTGTCCTGGGAGGAGCTCTACTGGTGGGAGGAGTAGTGGCTGCTGGAGCTGTGGCCCTTCTTGGCATGGGCATTGCTAAACTTAAAAAATGAGACCATTTAGATTTTCCATGTTGTATTCATGTGTACATCAACATTGTGAGTGTCATGGCATTTTAACCCTTACGTACATGTGTGTCCTCATTTTGGTTGTATTTTGCTACTTGGTCAGCATGCATTAGACTCTGAACGGTATAGAAAGTAACATACAGCAGCAGGCAGGCTAACATTTCAAATTTGTATACCAAGGGTCAGGCGTATTTCCATAAAATAAAAAAATATTGGTGAGTGTTTACAGCATTTTGAAACAGTGGGAGCTCCTTGTTTTTGATGATAAATATACACGTTGTATTAGTTAAAGCACCGTTCACACTCGTATACTACAGGTATTATTTAACTCGGTTTGCAGTCGAGAGATGATAACGCATGAGGCGATGCCGAGTGCATTATCGATTCTCGGGACCGCAAACCGAGTTAAATAATAACCGTAGTATACGAGTGTGAACGGTGCTTTAACTGGTTTGTTGCACGACCATTCAGAGAACGATCGAGCTCCCGTGCGTTCACAGGCCCACGAAGACTCGACTACTACCCGTGGAGTAGCTCCCAGTAAGTTTGTTAGCTCCAGTTGGCCAGCCTGCACACAACCGTTCAATAAATTAAACTGTTAAAAATTTCCAAAATGTTCATAGTATGGCATTTATTGCACTGTCTGTGCCTCAAGAATCGTGCTATATACAAGTACAGCTATCAGTCTTTTCACAGCATACTAAACACTTCACACACACTCAGTCTAGACATGTTTCACTTATTTCGTTTGTGGTGTTATATACGAACAGTGCCATAAGCAGCATTTGGAGCCACTGCAATCTCCTTATCTTGTCCAGTGATAGGCCTCAGCTCCACATGTTCATACATGTTTTCTTCACCATCAGTGACTGAGGGAGGTGGTGGTGGTAGTTGGGTGTTCTCATACAGTGGAGCAGTTGTCACAGGAGCGGGTGGTCCTGAGTCTGTGGTACAGTCTGAATCTGTGCAAACTGTTAGCATGTTTTAGTTTGTGAAAACACTCACTAATAGCTACAGCTAATGTCATCCTCTGAGAAAACTACCCTTATTGCTCACGTATGCAGTTAAACACTCTGCCTTCAGAGTGGCTTACCGTTGTTCTTTCTCCTGGTGGTTGATCTTTTCTTAATCTCCATGTGTGCAGCCGTTAGCAAGTTTGAGGAGTGAAGAAGTAATTGAAAGAGACGTGCCTGAGGGTATTTTATAGGTGGTCGTCATGGAAATGACACATGTGTAAAGGTTTAATCTCCATGCGAGTTACCGTTAGCATGTTTACCATGTTTGAGGAGTGAAGAAATAGCTAATTAAAAGTGCCCGAGGCTCAGACAATAATGTGGTCCTCATGGTACTAAGCTGTTTCATCTCATGATTCCTGAGGGTTTTGTGGTTTTTTTTACAAACATGTATTGTTGTGTTCTTGATAGTGGACACTGAATACATTGTGTATAATTATACTGCAATGCTCTTTCAGTCACGCATTAGGCTTCCGCGCCTGATCGGCGCAACTCTCTTGCACGCGTGCGTGATTCTGCCCAAATCGACACACACCTTTCATCCCGCGCACGCGCGCTGTGGCGATCTGCCGTTTTACAGACCTACGCACAGCATCTGTGCCTGCCTTCAACCTGCTGGGATATTTATGACATATCCACTCAATCCGGATCTTTTGCTTTTTTTTAAAGGGTATATAGATAGTATTCGAAAGCAACATCCAAATGCCGAGTGACCATGCGTGGGTGAGATATGCCGCCCGCCAACCGTGTTAAATTTCACAATTGTGCGAGTTTTGTTGACGTTTCAAGAAGTCTGCAACATTTTGTGACCGAAACGGATCGCTCTCAGCATTTGTGAGTTGCATTAAAACACATGTAGGCCTACCCCCATTATAATGTATTGCCTGGGGGGTAAACAACATTTTACCAACAAGAAAGGATCAACTGTAATATACGAACCAGCGCAACGGCTTCCGTAAGTCACACTGACGACGCTGGTCTGTCTTGTACGGTGACCATCGCACCTAGAGCTGGAGTACTGCTATATAGTCTCGACCATCCCGAATACCCACACCGGTCATAGTTGAGACTGCGTACTACCAGCATTCCTTTGTCACCTCCCTGATTATAGCACTTATATTATAGGACTAGTGCTATAGGCTAGGGCCCGGACCTCTAGGATGCTTACCGCCCGGATGGATACTCCCAACACTTTATCTGGCAAGCTACGCATAGATCCGACACGTCCGTTTCCACCATGAATGATGCAACATCTACTTCCATCCCATAGCAAGCTATACGTCTGCAAACGAAAAACCTCGAGAGTGTCAACATTCGTTCATTATTCAAAGCGCATAATACCACCAGACAACACCTTTGTCGTCCAAATAATTATATATATATTGCCTGTGAATGAAAGATCAGGTGATGTCTACTGCATTCCATGCAGAGACTGCACTTCTCGTATAGTATTATAGGTGGGGCACCTATCTACCCAACACCGTGTGAAGCCCCTAAAAATGTGAATTATGCCATAGCCAAGAATGTTTGGAGTAAACACAATCAAGTAAACTGGGAGGGTGTCTCTGTCTTGGACAGTGAGCCTTACACCAGGTCGAGGAAAGTTTGAGAAGCCATACACATCAGACATGGATTCTCATTAACCCTCGTCACGTATGCGCAGCGAGGGTTACTTACAGTATATACTTGGTTTTGTAAGTCTGTCTGTTACCACGTTTTCTGTCACCACGCACAAGAAAAATGGGCCAAAGAGCGATAGTTACGTGTTCAGTGCTATATACACTTGGTTGATTAAAGAAAGGCAATTTTCATAAAAACACTGCGTGAAAACCAAGTTAACAGGGCAATATACTGATTAGCAGAGGCCTACCTCGACCGGGTCCGCTTGCTCTGCGTATCTCGAGGCACAAGAAGTCACAACGAAGGGCTTACAGCGACTTCACATGCTATTTACTACTGTAGCTACCTAGTCCATGACAGACTCTTAGGAGCTATATAGCTATAGTGGAAGACCACAAGTAAACGCATCATAAAAGCCCAGTCCATCCGTTAGTAGTGATGCGTATGCGCTGTTCGCAAGGGGTTTGCACTTTAATTGTGTATGTTTCCAGTTTTGCTTAGTTCAGTTTTTGCATGTAACCCTGAGGATGGATCTCGTGAGGCATCAGAAACTTTTTTAAAATTATTATCTCTGCTTTATAGTACATGAATAGATAAGGACGGTGGAAAAAACGGGATGGGTGATATGAATAAAAAGCATGTACCGAAGGAGCACCAGACAAATCTGATGTCCTATAACTGAGAGGAGGAGAATGTGTGCACTATAGACATACCAACACACTTCGGACATGGACATTGGTAGTGATAAGAGCATGGATTTGAACTGACAAAGTGGGATTGGAATTTCATCCAGAATAGTCTATGGAGATGGGCCTTTATTGTAGAGATGGAGAGATCGATGTTTATTGGGGGAAGAGAGTTCCAGAGCCGTGGTAGACGATTGAAGAAGAGATGAGCTTCCGTGGTTAGGGAATGTTTCAGTTTGAGGTGAGATGAGGACCGAGTGTTACGATCAGAAAATTGCACGAAAGAGTGGATGGAAAATTCTTGGGTGGTGTCGGGGTCTTTGAGACAACGAATGAAAAACATGATGTCAAAAAGTTCTAATTGCATCACCAAAGGTAGGAAGTTGTTGAAGTCATTTAGGATGTACTTGGTAGCTCGACGTTGAATACATTCAAGTGCAGAGAAGGTTGGGTCTCCAAATCTGTGAAGCATAAGTTAGCTGAGAGCGGACGAGAGAGAGAACTTCAGTTAGCTATATCTATAAGTTCTTTCTAAATCTGGTAACAATCAGGAATAGTTTTTGGATGTAGCTGAGGCCAAAGACAAAAGCAGTCTCGAACAGTAGTGTTCGGGATTCTGTCTGGGCATTTTACAATGCTCTTTTTTGCCCCCAAAGCCACTTGCTGAGTCTGCATTGGCATTATCACTTATATATATAGTACGGTTACAAGTGGAAAAATCATTTCTTCAAAATGAGGGGATATAGGGAGAACAAGGGGCTCATTTCATAGCTAAGACACACAAATCAACATCACACTATCCCTATAATTATCTTTGTCTGATCGTACTTCCCTATTAGTCAACAGGACAAAGATATAGGGATAGTGTCATGTAGATTTGTGTGTCTTAGCTGTGAAATGCCCCCTTGTCTCTCTTTTTGGGTGCTTTAAGCCTTCCCTATATCCCCCTCATTTTGAAGAAATGATTTTTGCACTTGTTTCCATTATATTTTATGAACCACTCTGACTACACAGGACCATGCACTAGTTTTTGTATTATTAACCCTCGCTGCGCGCATGCGCAGCGGAGGGTTATTGTAGTCGGTCTGTGTGTGTGTGTGTCCGTGTGTCCGCCCGTTTGTCCGTCTGTCCACCGTTTTTCTCGGTAACCGCGGAAACTCTGAGCGTGAAACGTGGACATATTATCAAGTAGGAGGCATGAATGGTAAAATAAGATTCTGGAGCGGAGAAGGCCGGGGAAGCGGGCGAAACGGAGGGCTGCCGAGGTGAGTGTGCGTCAAATAGAGATAAAGACAGTTGAGTAGGAACGAGATTGCCAGTGAAGTGAGAGCCAGGGAGCGAATCTCGCTGCGCGCATGCGCAGCGGAGGGTTATTGCAGTCGGTCTGTGTGTGTGTGTGTGTCCTGTCCGTCCGTCCGTCTGTCCACCGTTTTTCTCGGTAACCGCGGCAACTCTGAGCGTGAAACGTGGACATATTACCAAGTAGGAGGCATGCATGGTAAAATAAGATTCTGGAGCGGAGAAGGCCGGGGAAGCGGGCGAAACGGAGGGCTGCCGAGGTGAGTGTGCGTCAAATAGAGATAAAGACAGTTGAGTAGGAGCGAGATTGCCAGTGAAGTGAGAGCCAGGAAGCGAATCTGTTCAGTGAAGGAGTCACTGAGATAGTGTAGCCAGGTAGCTAGTAGCCATTGGCTGCTGAAATAAAGAATAAAGTGGTGACTGAGGGTTATGTATATACTATCGAGTGCTTTTCACTTTGCTGTAGTAGTAACTAGTATTGAAAACTCATGTCCAGAATAATGTGGACAAAGATGATTGGAATAGAGTTCAATACAGGATAATGTTCACAAAATGAGAGATAGGATGTTAGCTATGGCTATATAAATGTTTCTTTGTAGATAAATGGCTGAAGTAAAGTTCAGAATAGTGAGCTCATTTAAAAAATATATTGAATGGAGTGACTTTTTCACGTTTAATGCTGTGGACAGTGCCATGCATTGTAAATGGTTTGGCCCTCAAGAGCGATGTTGAAGTTATCTCTGTGCAGTCTTTGGTCTCACATATGTTGAGCAAAATAGTTCCATATGCTCGAACATGAATTGTTTCTTCAGATGTTGTTTTCACTGTAAAGTTGGCTGCAAGCAGATGCTTTGCTTCAGCTATGAATTGTACCGTGTTGCATTTAGTACATTGTGCAATCTCGTCCTCACCCTCAACTTTCACAACCCTGCATCTGCATTTAATGCATGATTTGAATGAACTGACCGATTCTACTGCAATGACTTTAACTGATGGATCCTCTGTTTTCGGATATTCCTCATTAGTAACATCCTTCATATCTGCTATAGAATCAATTTTTGTTCCCCCCTTCCTGGTAGTAATGCTTCACTCGTGTAGAAGGAGGTTTGATAGGCGGTAACATTGGTGTTTTTTCAACTTTCCTACTTCTCCTTCCCAACGTGTTAACTTAATATGTTGTATTCCATCTGAAATCATTAAATCTTGCTTTGATCTTCCATCCAGTAGTTGTACTGGATCTTCAATGTGTAAAACTTTAGCTTCAACTGTGACTGTAGAATATCATATCTTTGATGGTTGCAAGTTTTACAACTGAGTCAACTGGATTGCTAGTGGGAATGTCAAATGTTTTATCTGCTTTCTTTACTGCAGTGACTGAATTGAGCTTTACTTCCAGATCGTCGTTTTTTCGTGAATGCTGAACCTGACAGTGTGATAAAGTAACTGGATCATTTTTTTCCTTATGCTGAAGAAATTTGCGTCTAACTGACGTGCTAAATCCAACAAAGTGAATATTCGCTGTTTGATCAGATAAACTTCCATCAAAATATTCACATGATTTACCCTTTTTCATTGGGAATAAAGATGTTACAACTCCATGTAAAGTAGCACTTGAAGACGGCTCATTGACTGAGACAATATCATCATCTTCTCTGAATTTTCGTTTTTGAGACATATTATTTTCTATAACTTGTGCCAAGATACCTGCACTCAAATCAAAGTGTGTCTTTTATACTTGTTGTTTGTAGTTGTGCATGTATGGTGCAATTGATTACAGCTTACCTGACTGTGGTGCAATCTTGTATGTTGTGCAAGTGGACAATCATAAGAATTATATATGTTGCAATAGTTTTGCAAAATGAACTCAGTTGATCATAAGGACTGATGTGCAATGTTGTGCAAAATCGATGAGTCAGAAGTCGGTGTAATAATAATTTACCAGGAATAGTATAGGGTTGTGTAATATTATTGCCAAGTTAGGGTTTGCATGTGGCTGGTGTAATACCAATGTACAATGTTGCGCAATATTGATGAGTCAAAAGTTGGTGTAATAACAAGTTACCAGGAATAGTATAGTGTTGTGTAATTGCCATGCATGTGGCTGGTGTAATATCCATGTGCAATGTTGGGCAATATTGATGAGTCAAAAGTTGGTGTATAAGAAGTTACCAGGTAGTATAGTGTTGTGTAATATTGCCAGGTCAGGATTTGCATGTTGACTTCAGATGCCTCAGGATCATGTGGCTGCGGTGCATGGCACGGCTGGAAGTGGTTTCAGCTCAAGTGGGACGAGAGATCCGCAGGGCTACTAATTATGGTCAAGGAGCCCATCGTTCTGGTGTGCGCTGTCTGGGGACCCTGGTGGGGTAGCCACCAGGTGTTCTGCCGGTGCGACAACCAGGCTGTGGGGGCGAGTCTGCGCTTCCGTACCAGCCGGGAGAGCCACATCATGCACATGCTGTGTACATTATTTGAGGCCAGACATACTTTTTGTCTGATGCCACAGTATATTGATACAAAAGCGAACCACTTGGCAAATGATTTATCAAGGAATATGCAAGGTCCCCCAAGCTGACACGCAGCCAACACCCCTGCCTCCACATCTACTGGACTACTCCTGGACCAAACCCTCAACTGGGCCTCTCCTCGCTGGCTCCATCTGTTCAGCAGGAAGGACTCGGGGTGGGGGTGTCCTGCCAAGGTAATTATACCGGCAATTAGCAATGGATGCACGTGAGGTCACGTGACTGGCCCATGACGTACCACGTGACATCATGTGCCGACGTGCGTTCCGACCTGCCCACTCAAAGGCCGGCAACAATCTCTGGGGAATCACATACCGCATACGCCTTTCCCACGCGATGGTCTCAGGCACTAGACTTCGCGCCCTCCATGATGGCCCAAGAACCAGGAGATGTAGACCTGACGATGGAGGCAATAAAGCTCATGGAAGACCTATTTTCGGATGGTAACAAATCTCTTTGAACACGGAGCGTACCAGCGAACGCCACCCATACCGATAAGGCGGCAAGTACCTCGGCCTGTACCCCGCCGCGGCTGGCGGCACCATCATCCGGAAAGGCATACGATGTACTGCCCATCACCTCACTGATCAGCGAGAACAGGGTACTGCTTACATCAACCCTTGACCAGGTGGGGAAGGCGCTGCTTGATTTCATCGGTGGTCGCACTGGCCTTCTTCAGAACACATCATTCTGGACCGTTTTTTCAACTCCCTTATCATTGAAATGTCTGGTGGGTTACTTGTCTGAGGCTGATGTCCAGCACGAGCTTATTTCACCTTTGTTAAAACGTGTGGCCACACAGCATGTCGGAAATCGTCCTCCCTGCAAGCAACCCAGAGGAACAAGAATATGCATTGTCACTTGTTGTTGAAAGCGCTACTGAAAGGCGGTTGCATACCCCAGGGTCGAAGCCGACAGTAGATTATTGCCTTGTTGGACGGACAGAGAGACAAATCCTGTACAAAGTACCAGTGGAGGCGAAGAAAATGTTCACATTCAATGACATGGGCCAACTGGCTTATTATATGGGCCAGTTGGCAAAGGTGGGGGGCAACAACACCGAAATTGGGTTACTTATGGATGAGACAAGGCTAAAAATAGCTGTAGCCCCCTTGTGTCTGTCTGAAGGGCCCTTACCACTGCCAATCATATTTCTGAGTCCCAGCATTACATTGAGAGATGTGCAACACTGAAACATGATGCCTGCATAGTGATCTGTGTTCTGCAGCAAGCACTTGTTCCACGCCTGAACATCACAGCTGAGGCCCTCAGCACCTGTTTTGGTCCCAAATGGTGGTGGGGAATCAGAGGAGCAGCGGAGAGAATCGCAGCACAGCCACAAATTCTTGGTGACACAGGTGTGCCGCATGATTAGATGCAAAGCCTAATGGTTGCGTTGCGGGATCAGAAGAAGGAAATAAAGGAGCTGAAAAGGGAAATAGAAAAAAGTAAAGAAAGAACAAACTCCACATAAATCCCCTGGGAACGGCAAGGCAAGGGCTGGCACAAAGAGACGCCACATAGAATCTGACTAGTGCAAAACCTACTCACTTTTGTTGCTTGCAAATTCATAATCACTGGTCATTGCACTGGTCATTATCACTGGTATTGCGCAATACCTAGCGCGCGCACTGCACTCGGTGATTTTTTAAAGAATGGAACAGTGCATAAGCACCCTGCACACCTTGTTTCCCCTGTAAAGATGTAGTTAGAGAAGGTTCGGTACCTAACTCATGTGAAATAACTCTACACACCTTGTTATCTCTGTGATGATGTGGCTGTACCTAACCTTCTCAACACACATTGCTGATAACAGTGTGTAGAGTTCTTTCACATGAGTTCGGGGTCCTAAAAGAGTCCCGGGAATGACTAGCCCTTTAAAGAGGCCGAAACATGTGGTACATGATGAAAGCTGGGGAACTCCCCTGATGACCAGTTACAGTAGTATGTAGGGCATCCCGCGATTAAAAAAAGCCTTCCTTCAATGTATTTATGATGCCAGAGGGTGCTGTGGTGTGGCTGCAACATTTTCTCAAAAGAATGTGTTTTTGCTCCACTCACACGAGTGTGGACAAATCGCCACCTAACTACCTCCTCTTCAAACACACACACACACAATGGTGAACAGATCTTCTAAAAGCCGTAAATAGAAGTGTTGTCTTCTGTTTGTTGCACTTTTTGATGCCAACATTGAGGCTATAGAGTTTTTTCCTACAGATTTAAAGGAGTAAGGAGCCGTATAGACAGAGACAGAAAAAGGTGTAAAGGACTAACTGTTACAGGATTATGAAAGGGTAGAAGCTGCAGCATGTCCTCAGAATTTCATCAGTGTACCTACATATCAACTTTAAAAACCGGGAACCATCTCCAGGTATATACAGCAATCCCCTGAGATGGTTTTCGTCCATTATATTTATAGTGGGAGGACTCATCAGCCCATTGCTGTGCAGAAGTTGAGAGAGGGAGCTTTTTTTCCATTGCTAACTAGGTCAGGGTTTCATGAATAAAAAGTTTTGCCCAGTTAATGTTGAAATGTTGGCGAGTAAACATGAGCAGTCCAGGAACAACTAACTCTACGCGATATTATTGTGCGACGTCGTCGGGATATTATGCGAAGTGTGAAAGCAAAGCGAAAAAAATTTTATGACACCCAAGACGAGAAAAAAGAGATGCCCTGAGTCGCTCGAAACTCATTACACTACAGTCTAAAGAATGTGTGTATACAAGAAACAGAGCTAGAGAAAACAGAAACACCATTACAAAACCAACCACAGCTCACCAGCTCACTAGCCCCACAATAAGTGAGCCCACAGTACCAAGGGTATATGTACAGTATGTGAGACCCACAATATGTGAGCCCACAGTACAAATTAAGGGTATATGTACAGTGTGAGCCCACAGTACAAAGGGTACGTATATGTACAGTATGTGAGACCCACAATATGTGAGCCAAGGGTATATGTACAGTATGGGAGACCCACAATATGTCAGAGGTCGTCATGGAAACGATGTAATACACTGCACACCAAGTTTCACTTCCATGCGTGCTACAGTTAGCAAGTTTGAGGAGTGAACAACTAATTTTTAAACAAAGTGCCTGAGGCTATTTGTCGTCATGGAAACAATGTATTAGGCATGCGTACCAAGTTTCACGTCGCTGCCGATTACATCTCCAAATTTATGCTTTGCTGAGTTCTTGGTCAGCATGAAATAAAGCTGTTAAAATTCGCGCTGCAGAGCATGAATTAACAAATACCTGGGAACACAATTGTAGCATCCAAGAAAAAGCGGAAGACATGTGGTCACAAAAGTAAATCAGACAAGGACAATACTTTCCAATATGCATCATACACAAAATGAGAGCTATTTCTGAAACAGTGGTGAGCAAGCAGCTAAAGAAACAATTCAAGAGCTTGCCCCAGATATTGCAGACACATTAAAGAGACACCAAGAATGGAACAATATTAAAACAAGCCTAACTGTTGGTTCATCTGCTAACCTTGTTTTGTGATGATGAACTGCAAGACATTCAATCGATAATGGCAAAACTTGGTCCTGTTCAATTCCCAGAATGTACATCTAACAGTGAATGTGACCAAGAATACTCACATGCTCTAGGGAACCTAATAACAGAAATATCACTTTCTGGTTTTCAGGAACTGTTCTGGTGATGTTCATGGTGAAAAAAGAAAAATAGCATCTATACTCAACCACATTCAGAACGCCCTTCAAAAGATCTTCCAACCGATGTTTCTACCTTCACATCATGATTTACATGAGTTTGACTACTGGACAGTTCTACCACTACAGTGTCTATGGGAGTGACCATCCTTTGTTATGTCACTAAGTACACCCATAACTAAAAAACGCAACAACATACAGTAATGAAATTCTGTAACAATGTAGGAAAGAGACTGGTCATATTGTAAACAATAACAAATAGCCCCAGGCAATACATTATAATGGGTTCACATTTGTCAGTATAACTCACAATTGGTTAAGAGCTATATTCAATCACCAACATTAAAATACACGTTTGTAAACAACAACAAATAGCCTCAGGCACTTTTACTTCTTCACTCCTTAAACACACAGAGATAAACTTGCCTATTATACAAGTAAATTAAAAATTATGCGGGATGGTATAATAATAGGGATGGGATACTACATGAAGCATGGTTGACGAGTACGCTGACACCCCCAACCCCATCACACAATCCCTATTTTGTTGCCTGGTGTGTTACTCTTATAGGGGCTAAAATCAAGCATTCTTTCACCGTCCGTGTCCCTGTTGTTTTTAATTCAACTCTATAAGGGTGTTGGTTACTCAGAAGTGTACTGTTTCCATGCGAGTACACCCACCACAACAGTGAAAAGGGATCGCTGGAGGGCCATTTTCCGAGCAATGTTTTCTTCTGGTGGTAGAAAACCTTGTTTTATTAAAAGAATGAGCTGCTGTAACTCAGGGTCCTTAGTCTGCTCCGCGCTCAATGTCTCATGGGGGGGTGTTCTCCTGGTAGAGCTGGTCTATGCATCCATCTGTGCTTCCATCCATTGGGCGCAGAGGTTGACAACACATCTCAGAAGGGTGTTCTGGTCCCGTGTCTGGACTGGTCAGTTTGGTAAGATCTTGATTGGTTTGGTGAACTGGAATAGGGTGGAGTGGGACCGAAGTGGCACTGACTGAACACTGGACGTCGCAGGCCCCATGGTTTGCAGTAATTGAGTGAGAATTCGTTCTGCTACTCTCTGTGGCAGAGATGTCCCGACTCCCTCCAGTGAGTTGGCATCCAACACTGTTCGATGCTGAGTGTGAGGCTGTCAGGCTCTCCACTGGGTGAGGCTCAGTCTGACTCTCTGTGTGACTCTCCATCTGCTTCTCTGTTTGTCCTGGACGAGGGGCAGTCTGGTTCTCCAGACTGTCAGTAACTGAGTGAGGCTTCTTTGTGTGACTCTCCGTCTGACTCTTCTCTGCGTGTCCTGGACGAGGGGCAGTCTGGTTTCTCCAGACTGTCAGTGCTTCCTTGGGGTGTAGTTAGCTCTTCGTATTCCGGAGTCTGGTGGCCTAAAGAAGCAGAAGCCATCTGCTGTTCGCCTCTCGAAGCATCTGGCTGCAGTGGAAGAAGTCTGTACACAAGAGTCATGGTCACACTACCCTCAGTCTGGACAATTGAGATGTTACGTGGTGGAGTAGTTGGTAGATGAAGTGATTGCCCAGATTCACTGTGTCCTGGTAACGACTGAGGGGACAGGATTGAGGTAGATAACATGGCTACATCTTCGGCCACTGACTCAATGGCCATATCCATCCTGGAGGTTGTCGACTTGCTATGGTTTGGGGGTACACACGGTTTGACACGAATCTTGTGCCGAGGTCTAAGTCGGTCTTCATCTGCAAAGGGGAAGGATAGTTCACAGAGTAAAGTAGCTTCTCCTAGTAGTCTCTTCCTGGGTCTTGCTGAACTGACGTCACCCAGCCCTGCACACCTTACATCTGGCGCTGGTCGGGTCAATGTGATCAGTTCTTGGACACACGTTGACCATTCTTCATCTCCGGATTGGCTGAATTCATGCAAGCTGAGTGCGACACATTCCGTTGATGGCAGAGGTTGGGTAGGACTGTTTCCCCAGATGCCTTCAGCAGCAATGGTCGAAACCTCAACTTCATCCTCCCCAATTCCTACAACAGGTGCTGGCAAGTGAGGGCTGCGGCAAAGAGCGTCGGCGTTAGTGTTCTCTCTTCCTGCTCGATACAGGATCTTCACATTCCTGACACCTCGGCCATAGACTCTCGTCCACCAGCGAGCATGCTTTGCAGTAGGGTTCTCGGCTTCAAGTACAGCTTTTACGGCTGTGTGGTCAGTGTAGATTGTGACGTTGAGTCCGTAAAGGAAATGATGGAAATGTGAAATACCCCACACGACTGCAAGGGTCTCCAATTCTGTGATCCCATATCTCTTTTCAGACTCATTCAGGGCTCTGCTAGCATAGGAGACAGGGTGGAGTTTCCCATCTGTCTGCAACTGACTCAGTACGGCTCCCAGACCTTGTACCGAGGCGTCAGTTTCGAGGATAAAATCTGAGTTAAAGTCTGGGGCAGTAGAGTGCTTTGGGGCAGTTTCTTGCGAGATGTCCCCTCTGCTGGCAGTTGTAACACTTGGGGGGGTCAAACTTGCCCTTTGATTTTTCCTGTGGTTTCTCTTTTGTGTCGGTCTCAGCGGACTGGTTGCTGGAGTTCTTCTTCGGGCATTGCGATGCGTAATGGCCCTCTTGATCACACCGAAAACACCTGCGTGCCCCTTTGTCGGAACTGTCGTTGCGTGTGTCTCCGCGCCTCCGTCTTCGAGCCAGACAGTAGTCATCTGCGAGAGTTGCTGCTTCATCTCTGTTAGTAGGCTTCCTTTCACACAGCCAAACACACAAGTCCTGTGGTAGTATGTCAAGCAGCTGTTCAACTACCAGCTTCTCGATGACTGCTGCTACAGAGTCACTCCCTGTGAGCCACTTGGTCGCGAGACTCTTCAGTCGAGTGGCCAACTCAGTGTAGGATTCCCCGTCCTTTCTCCGGGTTGACCTGAAATGCTGTCGATACGTTTCCTCACTAATATCGTAACGGCAGAGAATGGCCTTCTTGACCTCCTTGTACTTGGAAGCTGCAGCGGAACT